GATGTTTCTAATTAGGCTTTCTGACTCTGGGGACTGTCAGCATACACACATAAACAAACATGAACATCCCAGGTCTATCTTTATGAACTCTTTCTTGCATTACAGGTTTTCCCTTTTCCTTTTAACCCAATTTTATTCAGGTTTATGTGCTGTGAAGGCAGAAAACATGGTTGGAATCAGGCTGACTTACTGATTTCAGGCTCCAACCATATACTTTTGTCTGACCTTTAACTTCCCTGACCTTTGACCTTTAGTCTCAATGGGCTTTAGCTTCTTCACCTGTAATGTAAAAAAATGATACCTACCTCACATTTATAATAATTATTAATATTTATTATAATATTTATATATGTGTATATATGTAATTGTTTGACTCAGCAAGGGCTTCCCAGAGGCTTTGTCAACCCTCCCTTGGACTAAAAGTGGTCTAGGATGCTTCTATCCAACCTCCTCTCCCTCACCCCTTCACAGGGCCTGACTTCCATTGACATCTGAGGCTCTCCTTTACAAACTCCCTCCCTATTTCATTTCACACAGGCATTTCCTCAAAAAAAATCTTCGCATGTTTAATCTCATCTTGGCACTTGCATCTTGAAGGACCTGAGCCAACATGGGTCAGCTCATTTAAGTCTCACAATTCTATCTCTAGTTTTTAGATGAAATCCTGAGAACTTAACTAGCCAAGAGTGATGCAGTCAATCATAAGACTTAGTGCTTAAACTTAGTTTGTCATAACTCCAAAATGTGCATTCTCTGCTCAGTTCAGTTTTCACAATGGACTGTCTCCTTTCTGCACAGAAATCCTTTTGGAGGTTAGCAGAAAGCATCAGGCACTTCCTGCCTTGCTCATGAAGACATAGAGGATAAGAAGAAAATACACAGTGTTTTGAGGTCATGTTCAATGGAGGTAAAAAGACAAAATGAGGGGTTTGTGGTGTATTAGGGCATGATCCTGCAAGAGAGAAAAGAGGGACCCCCAAAAACACCCACTAAGGTAGGATGACATAGCAACTGAGTTGCTGAAAACTGCTTTTAGGATTCTATTTAACAAGAAACTGTTAAGAGATATCTGTAAAACTGATGGAAAAGAAAACCTAAAACACTATTTTTAAAAAGCAAGAGAAGAAAATAAAGTAAAACCAGTTCGATTCAAATCAGAACCTCTGGTGAGTGATTTAGGATTTTTGTAAACCTTGTAACTTTGCCTTAAACTTCACAAACAGGCGAGGTGACAGCAAAATAGATGGTAGAATACAGAAGGCCTCTATATTGGTAAATAGCCACTACCCAAATGACCGTGCTCACCTCCCACCCTGCCTCACCCTCTAAGGCTCCTGGAGGCCAGCAGTGCAGGCTTAATGCATTGCATAACCATCCAGCTCCTTCATCGGGACATATTCTGACTGGTCCAGCACCTCTATAAACAGGAATGTGTTCATCTGATCATTTCCTTCAGGTAACCTTACCAACCCCCTACACAGGGTCAGTTGCCCCTCTCTCTGCACCCCCTCCTTTGCTTTTTTCAACCACAATCTGTGCCACCCTGTACTGCCTACACACTAAGAGCCTATACACACACATACACACACACACACACACACACACACACACACACACACACACACACTAGGCAGGATGATCACATCTATTATTCTCTGATGCTGTGTCTGGCACATAGTAGGATCTCCATGAAACCAAGTTGAATGGCCGAATGCATAGATGGTGGGAGGTCCTAATGTATATAGCTGTAGATGGCAATTGTTTTGTTTCATCCTGACCAGCGTAACCAACACACTCTCTGAAGTGCTTATAACACATCTGAACGTATCCTTCATTCTTACTTAAATATAACTCTTTCCAGTACACCACACTTCTGGCTACACCCATACTAGCTTTGTTTATCTAAGAAGAAATGACTTAACCTGTCCAAGGTTTATAGAAGCTATGGTATAACCCAGACTTTAGAAGGCAGCTTACTCACATAGCCACTAACAAAGCCACAGCATAACTGCAAAAGACAGGTTACAACTAAAATGCCACTCGACTGGTTTGGAATGGAAATACCATTTGCTTGGAAATACCATGGGCCAGAAACTTCTCATTTGTCTAATGGTTTCATCTGCACAGGAACCCTGTGAGGCAGTCATTATCCCCATTTTACAGATAAGGTTGCAAAGGGGGATTGATACATCTTACACAAGGATACAATCAATAAGAAGTACTGCCAGGATTCAAATCCAGGACTGTCTAACTCAAAGTAAATGGCTTTCTACCTAAACTATGTATCAGGTCTTCCAAGTCTAGACAATGGTTTGTTCTTCTATCTGAGAAGCCTGTTCAGTTCAGAAGCTCAGGCTCTTTTGAATGTTTCCTGGGAGGGGTTGGTGGGGTGTAGAATTATGATTGTGGGTCTGCAGAAAGAATAAAAGAGAACAGAACAATTCTAGGAGATGCTACCCAGGCACACTGGGCTGGAGATAAACTGCTCACATCCTGCTTGATGTCCAATGCCAAGAAATGCCCCAAGATTTTTTCCTTTACGGCCTAAAGGTATACAGAATTCAATACAAGGATGGGCCAAGCCTTGCTCATTCTTCTATCACAAGAACCAGGCTTAGTAATTGTCTACGGACTTCAACTGAATGGTATTTTTAAGCCAGTGGGTTTAAACTTAAGGGCATTTCTTTCTAAGCATTAAGGAAATGGGACGGGGGCAAATCTATTAAAATTGGAGAGAGTCCAAAGAGAATATGAAGAGGTTTACTTAAGAGAAAAAGAGCTAAAATGTACAACTTGGCTAGCAGACAAAATATAAAGAGTGTAAGAGCCTAGGGATTTGAAAGGGAATACGATTTCATATGGGCTTTAATATGGTATATAGGTGGGAGTAACTAGGGAAAATGGTCTGACATAGGAAATGAGCATGACAGCAGCTGCAGGAACAAGCTGATTCAGAGAAATTATTTGGGATGGGAAATTTAAAATCCCAAGGCTCCAGATTCAACTCTCAATATGATCTTGGAAAAACATTGCATTCATTCACTCACCATCTAATTAGTATTCACTGAACAGTGGCTGTGTACCAGGAGCTCTGCACATAGCAGTCTGGCCACTTGCTCTAATGAAACTCAAAATCTTCCAGATTAATAAGAAGCAACAGCATAAAGTGGAGAGTTTTATGTTGGGAGCTATAGAAACACATACAGGGGTCTGACTTGGTTTATGAGACAGTGAGTTTCCCTGGGGAAGAGATGGTTAAATTAAGACGACAAGGCTGAGGAAATAGGTATAACTGAAGGTAAATGTGGAGAGGGGAAGAAGGGGAAGCATGTTTGAAGGTGATATGGACTGAATGTTTTCATCCCTCCCAGATTCATATGCTGAAGCCCTAACCCCCAGTGCGATGGTGTTTCGAGGTGGGCCTTTGGGAGGTGATGCTGTTAAGATGGGGTCGGAAGGGTGGGGCTCCCATGACGGTATCAGTGCCTGCATAAGAAGAGGGAGAGAAAGGCAGCTCTTTCTCTGCCATGTGAGGACACAGCCGGCAGGTGGCTGTCCGTTAGCCAGGAGGGCTCTCACAGCCATGCTGACCCCTTCATCTTGGGTTTCCAGCTTCCAGAACTGAGGGAAAATAAACGTCTGTGGTTGAAGCCCCCCTGTTAATGATATTTTGCTATGGTAGCCTCAGCTGGCTAAGACAGAAACAGAGGAGTTGAGTGCGCGAGAAGCCACCAAAGAATTAAAGAACTACAGAGGTGGGCTGGTGGGGTAGAATCCGAGAGAGGAGTAGGCGAGGGCCAGCCAGGCCCAGCCTTGTTGCCAGGCATCTTCAGAACAATAGGGAGCTTATAATGGGTGAGGAACCGGAGACTTGTAGAATCACTTATGTTCTGGAAAGTTCTTTGTGGGCAGAAATGGTGTGGGATTGGTGAGAATGAACTCAGGAAGAGCCCACTAGAAGCTGTGCAGTCATGCATGAAAAAATAATTTTAAAAGCTTCCCTATGACAGTGACACATAAGCTGCGTGTATAGAAAATGACAAAGGGAAGTCCTGGCAAACACATGCGCTGAGCAAGGTAGGGATGCATACCAGATACCGGGCATCCAGGAACAGCGAGAGCTTCTTGTGGCTACAGGGTGGCATGAGTGAGCAGCGGAGATGCAGCAAGACAGAAATGCCTCGTGTGTTAAACCAACAGCTAGAGCCTTTCCTCCTATAGGCCAGGAGAAAGGAACAGTCAAGAGCAGGGCAGAGGCTTGGGATCAGAGCAAGAGGGTTCAAATCCCAGCTCTGCCACAGCCTGTGTGCCTGTGGTCACTTGACTTGTGGCTGGGCCTCAGCTTCCTCACCTGTAAAATGGGAACGCTGTACTGTGCAAATGGTTAAATGCTCAACAGGTTGTCTCAGTGATATGATGGGGACCTCTGCAGGTATGGAAGCAGTGTGGCCACATTCTGGGCATTCTTTGGACATCACATGAACATGCTCTAACATTTTTTCTCCAGAGACCCCTGGAGAGGTTTACTTAGACTGATTCAAGGGGATTGAGTGACCAGACCTCAAGTCTCATGTCATGTTAAAATGTAGTTTTTCTTAGAACACAGAGCCAACCAATGTGGAAGCTCCAAGAATGTCTCCTTGAACTTAAGTTGCCTCAGTGTCATGATCTGGCATTTACTCCTTCATGCCCAAGTGCCATCCTGTGCCCTAACAAGGCACATCATTGCCTGAATGAGAATGCCAGCAAGGAGACTGGTGATGCTCAGTCATGCCCTTCAGCAGTGTGGCCCTCCCCTCTGCATCCCAGGCCTGGCTGAAGGCAGTGTTCTCACTAGACAACCAGGCTGGGGCAGCTGTGACCCAGAGAAGACATGCCATCTGTCCTCAGCTTCCAGGCATGGGATTGGTCTGAGACTCATGCAGCATGCTGGCCCTCTGCACCAGTGCTCACCCAGCTTCTACACTGGGTGTCCTGCAGCCTGTGGCACGATCATTTACCTGGCTGACAGGGAAGTCCCATGGCGAAGACGCAGCCTCAAAACTCTAACCATCGTGATCCACTTCGAAGCCGTGTGGCCCTAGTCACATTACTTCCTCTGGGTCCTCTTTCCTCGTCTGCAACATGGGATAATAATGGCATCTTCCCCACAGGTGCTGTGAAGGTCAAATGAATTAATATGTGTAAAGCATTTAATAAATGTTTACTACTACTGTGATAATTTTGGTGATGATAACAATTAGTTTGGGGCTGCAGGGGTTGAGGAAGCCACCTTTCCCTTCTTTGGAAGTTTAGTGGATTACACAGGGGGCATCTGCCTTGTCATGTTTCACCAGTGTACACCTGCTGGAACATCCTGCCCGTGACCTCTGCCATCTAAAGCTGAGCCAGAGCAAAAAGCAAATCTTTATAATACAGTCATCCATGGTAAATCTTCCCAGCCTTCTGGGAAACTGGACCTATTAGAGCAGAAAACTCAATCTGACCTCCTAATCTTAGAGTAAGGCTATCCAAGGCCAGAGAGGGCAGTAACTGGCCTGAGGTCACACAGCTAACCAGTGCCAGGTCTATAATCCAGGACTCCTGACAACTAGCCTCATACTCTGCAGCCAGTCTGTAAAAAAGGGACCCACAAAATTACCAGTGTTCATCGAGGGCCTACTATGCACCAGGCCCAGGGACAGGGACTTATGTTCATGATCTCATCACATCCTCCCAATGAACCTAAGAAGTAGGTGTCATTATCACTATTTATGGGTGAGGGAATAACCAAGGTCGCAAACCCATACAAATGCACATTATGAGCAACGCTCTCTTCTAGTGTGTGTGTGTGTGTGTGTGTGTGTGTGTGTGTGTGTGTGTGTGTGTGTGCATACTCATTTGTTCATGTGATGCTCATAACACTTTGAGGAGGCACAACATTGTTCCCATTTTGCAGTTGAGGAAACTGAGGCACAGAATGGTAAGTAACATGCCCAAATCACAGAGCATGTAAACATAATGCAGTTGAAATGTGAAACCAGGAGGTTGGTCCCCAGAAACTTCCTCCCAGCTGAAAAAGGATGAAGGTCTTTCCATTGCCCAAGTAGAGCCAGGATTCAAGCGAAGCCCAAACTACGGAAAGCCTGGGTCTCCACTGCCCCACACTCATCCGCAGCTCCCCCTGGTGATGTCCGTGTCTGAAGGCCCAGGGACAGCGTGAGCCAAGCAGTGTAACACTGACAGATCCTCGGGTCTGGGGCTGCCAAGTCCAGTTGTAACTGTCCTGGGTTAAGAGAAGGGAACTTGATTTTGTCCCAGCCTGCCCCCCCCACCCCAGGACACTGAGATGAGTGGAGTAACTGACAGATGGGTTACTGAATCTCCATGTGTTCCAGTGACCACCACCTAAAAGCCCAGCTCCCATTCCAAACTCAGTGCAAACATCATCTTTGCTCCGAGAATGCTCTCCGAGCAAGTCACTTCAGTTTCCGAGCTGGCACATTCTCATGGCGGGCACTTTCTTATTCCTCTCCTGGCTCTTTATCTTTCTGTTTTCATTGAGCTGAGCTCTGTGAAATGAGTGGCTGCTCCCAGCCCTGCCCATAGCCCCCAACACCCTGTGCTCCACACAGTGGACAAGGAACAAAGGTTCCCCTATCAGCAGAGCCTGAGGCATGGCTGGCAGGACAAGAGACCTCTGCAGTGGACCCACACACCAGCCCCTGTGGCTGGCCAGTTCCCCAGTGTGCCAGCTGCGGCTTTTCACTAGTGTCAAAGCACAGCAGCTCTTTATAGAGCAAAGCCCTTCCCAGTCTGCAGCCCCCTCTGTCCTGATAAAGGCTTTCTTCTCCTGTGGTGCCAGGCCCACACCCCTGCATTTGGAGGCCCTCAGACACGGGGGGTCCTGGGCCTGGAAGAGGGGAACTCCTTTTCATCTCATTTCGACAAACACTTACGGCATTTTTACTAGTTCTGGTGCTTGGCTCTCAGGATGGAGAGAATGCATGAAAATATTTACCCTATTACCCTCAAGGTACCCATTATCTGGGAAAGGAAGGGTGAGGCAGGGAGGGAAGAAGGGACCCCGCAGAAAGGCAGAGACAGTACAAAACCACCTAAAGTTTGTTTAAACAAAGTAATGAGAATCACAATCTACTATAAGGGACAGCAAAGGGCAGTGCTAAGGCTGAGGGATGTAAACTCAGTCTGCCACCTGTTTTTATAAATAAAGTCTTACTGGAATACAGCCACACCCACTTGTTTACATAATGTCCATGGCCATTTTTGCCCTGCAACGGCAGAGCTGAGAGACCGTAGACCCTGCAAGTCTAAATCATTTGCTCTCAGGACTTTTACAGAAAGCATGTTGCTGACCCCCAGTCTATGTGAGAACTTTACACGTTTGATTCCATGTAATCATCACAGTAACTCTTATCCTATAGGTATTATTAACTCCACTTGGCAGATAGCAGTGTAGAGAAGTTAAGTAACTGCTCAAGGTCACATAAAAGTAAAGAAAAGTACCTGGATTTGCCTGAAAGCCACTGCTTTTTCTTCACACCTGTGAGCTATGTCTTGTGCTCAACCTCTAAGATGGCAGAACATTTTGATTAATGGGGAGGAGTTGGAGGAAAAATACCAGTGAGGAGGAGTTGCCTGGGGGATGGCAGAGTGGCAGGAATAAACACAGCTGGTAACAGAGTGGACCTTTAGGAAGAATAGAGAACTGCAGAAGGAGCCTTCAAGACCAAGTCATAAAATTCTATGTCTTAATTAGCTTGGGCTGTGATAGCAAAACACCAGAAACTGGACGTGGCGGGAAAGGGGATTCTTAAGCAATAGATATTTATTTCTCACAGTTCCAGAAGGCTGGAAGTGCAAGATCAAGGTGCTGGCAGATTCAGTTCCTGGTGAAAGCCCACTTCCTGACTCTCGTGGTATAGAGAGAAGGATAGCTCCCAGTCTCTTCCTTTTCTTATATAGACACTAATCCCATAATAGGGGTTCCACCCTCATGACTGCATCTAAACTTACCTCTCAAAGGCCCACTTCTAAATATTACCACATTCTGGGTAGGGCTTCAATATATGAATGGAATGAGGGGAGCACAAATGTTAAGTCTATATTACCCTGCCAACAGAGGAGAATGGAGACCAGAGAAGCAAAGCAATATATCCAAGGTCACACAGTAGCAAAGACCAAGCTTTAAGCAAAACACTCTTAGAGCTTTACAGAATCTTGGCCTGTTCTGGGCAAGTGTGCCTCCCTAGCAGATGCTCTGTGTTTACTCTGGGCTGATCACAAACCCAGGGAACCCTGGAGCCATGTGCCCCATCATGCCATTTAGAGTCATAATCAAACCAGTATGGACTTGCTTTGTTTTAACTGCACACACTCATGTGACTGTACTTTCTGTTTTACCAGGTGTACAGAAAGGACACAGGATTGGAAACCAGGCAACCTGACATCCTGTTTGTCACTGATTCCATGTGTGACCTTGGACTAGTCACTTAAATGCTCTGGCCTCAATCTCCAATGTGAAAAATATGGGGCTGGGATAGATAACACTTTCCTTCCAACTCGAATTATTCATGTTGAATAAGGTTGATTAACACACCAGTTGACTGGTGGTCCTTCTTTTGTAGCCGCACTTGATCTTACCAAGTCAACAATCAGGAATGTATTATTTGAATTTGTGAGACATAAAATATCAGTAACTAGAATTCCAGCATCCAGTCGATGAAAAGCATTGAGCTTAGTTTTTATCAAGATTTATACTTCATGCTAGGATGCAGCTGTGAATGAAACAGGAGTAACCACACCAAGGAACGCAGTGTGAGAAATGCCACACCCAAGAGGCAGGCAGAGAGCAGCTCTACCAAGTGGTTCCAGAGCCGGGCAGCCTGGATATAAAACCTGACTACCCTGAATTAACCCTGTAGCCTCAGACAAGTTAGTTAACTTGACTCAGGCAGAGTCTTCATCTGTAAAATAGAGATAAAAATGGTATCTGTCTAAAGGTTATTGGGGAAGATCCCCTGAGTTAATTCTTGTAAAATTCTTCCAGTTGTGCCCACATAGGTGAAGCACTTTGTGACCATAAACTATGATGAGGATGGAGATGTACTTGGTGGCAAAGGCCAGGAGTGGGATGACGTAAGCAGTGAAAACTTCCCAAGGGAGTGACATCAAAACTGAGGCCCAAAGGATAAGTGGGGGTCAGTGTGGTGGAGTATGAGGGTGAGAAGTCTCCTGGGCAGTGGAAATCATGTGCAAAGGCCCTGAGATGAATGAATGGGAATTTGGATAAACAGGAAGAGTGCTGACAGGTGAAAGTAGGGCAATAAACCCAAGTCTGATAACTGCATAGCCAACCTCTTCCACTCCTGCTCTGAAACTAGAGATGTATAACCCATCACACAATTCCTCTGGTTAGCCATGTGAAGAGCTCTGGGGGACTTCCATCCCTGCCTTAGGGGCCACACCAGAACTGGGAGTTGGGGCTTAAACTAGAGTTTGGTCAGCAGGATATTTGCTAGAAGGTACTAGGGACCGAAGAGCCTAGGGTGAGTGTTGGTTCTCTGCAGTGAGGCTCAGCCTGGAAACCAAATTGCTCATTGCAAAAATCAAAAGAGTTGGAGGTGCTGGAACTGAAACAAAGCCAAGAGGGGCAAGGGGCAGCCAGCTAGACTTTGGAAGAGGGGAGAGAGAGAGAGATCTGGGGGTGGGGAAGAAGACAGCCTGAAAGCCAGCAGCCTGTTTGTATGGGCCTGAACACATGCTGTGCGGGGGACCAGCCTGGTTTGATGGTCAAGGGTCTGGATGGGTAGCAGGCACCATCATGCGTTAACAGGCTCAGGAATGAGGGGTAGTGTAGGTGAGGTGAGCAGAGGGAAGATGGATATTCAGACTCATGACTATGCCCACATACTGCCCTCCCTCACGTGGGATGGGGTAAGGGGAATCCCATGGGATTATTTTCACTAGCACCCAGTGCGTCTAAGAGGAAGATGTCAGGAGAAACGCAGCTTTAAATAACTTCTGCTCTAAAGAAGGTCTGCAATCGCCACTGCACCTCTGTCTCATTTACATGTTAAGTACAGTGAGAATGGAGCTGTCAGCTTGTTTTTTTATGAGGGTTACATGAATTAATATAGGCAAAATAGTTAAAACA